GGGGGCAGAGGGGGCAATTTGCCCCAGGGGCCCAGTGTAAGGGGGCCCCCCAAATTTGGAAAATAAAAAATATTTTGGAACGTTTTTTTAAATAATTTATGGGTATTTGAGAAAATTTTTCTGAACCCAAATTCTGCAGATATTGGTAAAAAAAGGGTTTTACCAATGTAATTTAATTTAACAAGAATTTGTCCCGAAATTTTTTTTTTAATTTTTACCTTGGGATCGTTTTATTCCCGTGCACGATCATAATATACTGAATCTGAATATAAACGAGCCAATCAGCCAAAGACAATTTCAAGGTAAAAAGCAGGGGCGTAGGAAGCTTCTAAAAACTGGAGGGGGGGGGGGGCTTATCGGCAAATTCCGAATATAATACACTTCAGTCAATGTACTTTCTTCGGAATTTGCCGAACAGCCAATAAGCCATAGATATAAGATATCTATGCAATAAGCAATAAGCCAATGATTTTTCCGATGATGACGTTTGTCAGGAATTTTGCATCCGGCCTATCGACAAAATAATTTCGATAAAAAACCACTTTTTAGGCAATTGCTAGATAGTATACTTCAAAATAAGGTTTCCGTTCTTATATCATTTTTAAAATAAGTTCAGCCTCGGGTTAGGTTAGGTTAGGGTTAGGTTAGGGTTGGGGTTAGGGTTGGGGTTAGTATTAGGGTTTAGTTTTGCGTTAGGATGGATTTTTCTACGTTATAAAAACAGAAACCTTATTTTGAAGTATACTTTCTAGCAATCACCCCACTTTTCATCCATGAAATTTAAATACTTCTAAACTTTTTTCAACTCTAAAAAGTTTGAATAAAGTTAGAAAAAATATCCGAGGTTTTTGTATCTAGTTTTTTTTCAGAAAGTAGCGGTTTTTGTTGTTGTTTGAAGCGAACGTATTAGTGTGTAAATGTTTTTATGAAAATATAATGACGTAAACATCGGAATCTGCATGTATAATGAGCTACACAAATAAATCGCTTGATAGCAAATTGAGACGAACTTCATACGTATAGACTATAGTTAAGCGTTTAATGCATTTAATGCTGGGCTGCCTATGATATGATATTCTATTTGTAATGCCTAATAGCGCAATAAGATAAACTGAATACCACCGTTCGATTCAGCGTAAGAAATGGTACTTAGGGACCGGTCATTAATTACAGGGGAGGGCTATTAGTAAAACCAGGAACACCGGAACAACGGAACACGGAACACCGGAACAGCATCATTCCGGAACACGGAACACCGGAACACTAAAAATTCTGGGTGTCTTGAAAACTAAGACCTCTAAAGATAAGACCCCTAAGACCCTAAGACCCTAAGACCCACCAAACTTGAAAACTAAGACCCCGAATTTTATTAAAATACAATTACACATTCAGTAAAGCTTTTGTTTATATATAAGCTAATTAACTCTTTTTCGTTTGGTGCTGAAATAAAAATAACCAGGTCGAAACCGACCTGGTATTTTGCAGGTTCATATCTTCAGTTCAGTGAATGCTATATAGATGAAAATAACACCATTCGATTCAGTGAAAAAATTCCTATCGATAGATATAATAAAATGTCAACATTATAGCGATTTAGGGGCGGACCATTTGACTTTTGAGG